AAATTTTTTTCCAAAAAATTTTGGGTGTGGGGGTTTGGTTTCAAATATATTGAAGAATGATTATCATTAACTCATTTTCTCGTCTCGAGTTGCGGATGCCCGGAGGAGGAGGGGGACGGAGAGAGGGTCTCCGGGGTCTTCCCTAGGCCTTCCGTGCCAGCGTCGTGCCAGTCGGAACCGGAGCGGCCCGCGCCCCCGCATCGATACCGTGCATCCATATTTATAAATACACATTCCGCGACGACGACACGAGTGTCCCTCCGGGGGGCGGGGGGCGGGGGGCGGGGCGGGGCGGGGCGGGGGGGGGCGGGCGGGCGCGGTGCCCCGGAGACGTCGCCTCGCAGGATTGTCTCGCCAGATTTGTGCAAGGAGTGGGGGAGGGGGCAGGAGGGCATGTAGGGCAGGATGATGAGGGCAGGCAGGCAGGCCAGGCCTCGGTGCCCGGTGCGGTGCCCGGTGCCGGCGGGGTCGTCGAACCCTCCACAGGTGGCGTTTTCCGCGCGTATCTGGAATAAATGGGATGCAGATCGCCCGCCGCCGTGCCGTGCCGTGGCGGGCCGTGCCGTGCCGTGCTGTGCGGGCGCTCCGCCGTGCCACGCCGTGGCGTGCGTGGCCCTGCCCTGACCTGATCACGTGACGTCACACGAGCGTTCACACCCCGCGAGGAGTGTGTCGGGACATAAACAGGGGCATCCGTTGCAGCTGCGCGGACTGGCTGATTCGCAGCTCGGCGTCTCCCTCGCACTCACGGCGCGTCCCGTGTGTCCGTCCGGGGTGCGAGGGAGACAGAGCGACGAGAGCGCCGTTCGAAATACCGCTCTTCTGGCAGCGGAAATGAAGCGTCGCCGGCGTGTTGGCAAGCCTAGCAAGCCTGGCGAGTAACGCAGCGCGCGCTGAGCCGAGGGGCCTGGATGGCCTGCAAGGGGCCGCGGAGGGCGCAGGGGACGCGGGGGCAGCCCCCCCAGGGGGGCCGGGCCGGGGACTTAAGCCCTCCCGAACATATGTGCCCACAATTTATGCTCCGCAGCAGTTGCCCCGAGAGTCCCCCACCCCCAGCTGCCCTGGCTATGCCCTTGCTATGCTCTGGAGAAGTTCTCTCCGGACTCCCCGCACGTCCCACGGTGGCCAAGTCAGCCAAGCCGACGAAGCCAGCCAAGCCAGCCAAGCCCTGAATGGAAGCCGGGCATCCACGCCGCGCATTTCCGCGACGCACCGCGCGCATACTCTCTCTCTCTCTCTCTCTCTCTCTCTCTCTCTCTCTCTCTCTCCTCCTCTCTCTCTCTCTCTCTCTCTCTCTCTCTCTCTCTCTCTCTCTCTCTCACACACACACACACACACACACACACGCAGCAAGCGGATTTATTTTAAACAAGAGGGGATGAATCCAAACACCCCCGCGGACTTGGCAAATTGGGGACGGATTGGAGAGGGGGCGCGCGTCGCGTTGTTTTGTTGTTTTGCTGGTTTCTTTTCGACGACCCGGCTGCAAATGGAGTCACGGACAGCACAGGCAGCGCAGGCCGGTCGGCGCGGATATCGGAGCGGCGCGCCGAGTGCGAGTCACTGTTAGAAGAGGGTCGACTTTCGAACCCAAACCCTTTGGGTCGAAATACGGCCTTAAGTAGGATCGAACCCATCTCGGTTCGAAAATCGGACGGGGGGCCGATACATGCAGGGTTCGATATTTTGACAAGATGAGGGTTCGATTTCGGCTCTGGGAGGTTCGATTTTCGGCTTTGTAGGGATTTAGCTTTGCTGAGACAAGTGAATTATCAAACTTGACCAAAAGACATTTTCTTACAGATTTAGATTTGTCTCGAGAAGACAAACAAAAATGTCAAGAATGTTAGGGTTAAAAAAAGAAAA